TAATTTGCCGATTTTAAAATAAGAAAAGGGCAAGTCTTCATTTTCTTCCCCACTTGGTAACTTGTGCGTGTATCGTCATAGTAACTCTGCAGTAAGCTGGTGCATGGCACTGGTCTCTTAATGGACTTTCTATTCTATTTGTGCTGGGTTTCTCCATTCAGGTCGCATTGGCGATGTGACTATGGATGTGCATATACCTCACTGCGGAATTGGTCGTGTCATCGGTATGTACATTGCAACAACCACGACAACAACAACAACAACAACAACAACAACAACAACAACAACAACAACAACAACAACAACAACAACAACAACAACAACAACAACAACAACAACAACAACAACAACAACAACAACAACAACATTTCAAACAAGAAATCTGCTCCCTGCTGATTAACTCAATCTGCTCCTGCAGCGCTCACTCTCTCCCATTCTTGTAAAGTTCAAAGTGATGTAAATCACTTTCCAACTGTTTAATCCACCATCTCACCTTCTCATAGATTTTTCTCTTCTTGGCGATGGTGCCATCGTGAGAATAAAGAATTCAAACAACAACAACAGCAGCAGCAACAGCAGCAGCAGCAGCAGCAGCAGTAGCAACAACACATTCTGACATTCTTCTCCATACCAACTGCTTATAACAGCACTGTGCATGTATGACTCTGTAAAGCTTAGGTTACATTCGACGTGACGTAACACTGCCGCTATGGGACGTAAGGGCCTGTCGGGACGTAAGGGCCTGTCAGGGACGTAAGGGTCTGTGGGGGGGGGGGGGACACGTAAGGGCCTGTCGGGGGATGTAAGGGTCTGTCAGGATGTAAGGGCCTGTCGGGGACGTAAGGGCCTGTCGGGGGGGGGGGGTAAGGGCCTGTCGGTGGGGGGGGGGGGGATGTAAGGGTCTGTCGGGGGATGTAGGGATGTAAGGGCCTGTCGCCTGTCGGGACGTAAGGGCCTGTCGGGATGTAAGGGCCTGTCGGGATTTTAAGGGCCTGTCGGGATTTAAGGGTCTGTCGGGGATGTAAGGGCCTGTCGGGGGGGGGGGGGGGGGACGATTCCTACAACACGACATGCTGCAGTCGTTGCGATGTTCAACAGCAAACGGCGCGAGTCATAAGGCACGGTCCGTGACGGGGTGACTTTGGGACCTAATTTTCTTTCGGGACTTCTTTTCAATTATTTCTCCTTGAAAGAAGCGGAATCAAGTTCACCAAACCAGTTTTTCATGAAGACCAAAAAAGTAGCCCTGAAAGTTATACCATTCAAGTAATAGCCCCAGGAAATGATAAAACAGTTCGTCTGTCACACTCCTGAACTATCCCTAAATACCATAAGTGGCCTTAGATCTTTATTTTGGTAAAATTCATCTCAAATTGTGTTAGCCATGCCGCGAGTTATCATGGGAAACGCCGTGTTCGAAATCCTAAAAAAAAACTCCAAGTATCGATCGGGAGTAGGCAGCGAACGATGCCGTCTCCTGTTCACACTCAGGCTGTGTTTACATGAGAAATTTCAACCCGGGTCGAGTTCAGCCCGGGTTGAAAGTCTGTACGATAGACAAAAGGGGTGAGTGTTTACATGAAGACAGTTGACCCGGGTCAAATACTGATATGCCGCCAAAAGTCCACTTCTACAGTCCTGTATGGTCACGTGAATCCGTTCGCGCGAAATTTGCATCTGCAGTGCCGTTCAAACCTGACGCGAGATACGCACAGAAGTACGTTTGTATGATTTTCTTGACCCGGGTTGATT